TTTTTTTTTTCAGAAGAAGAAAAAGCTGGGAACAAGAACTGGCCTGGAGTGGGGGGCAGGGGGCTCTGGAGCATCAGTAGCTGCTCTGATGAAAAGTGCCTAGGAGGGGCCCTTGTGAAAAATGCCTAGGGCCTCCCTCCCCCACCTCTTCCCCACCCCCACCAGCCAGGACTCTGGAGTTTCAATGACATTCTTGGCCCATGAGCCTAACCATCTTTTGATGCTCATGCCAAGGTCAAGAAGGCAGATGGGCACAAGCGACTGACCCAGAGTGGACCAGGAGGTTCCCCCTAGCATCTACCATTTCTGAGGGAGGGAGGAAGAAAAGAAGGGGGGAAAGGGGAACAGCGTGAGCCCAGCCAGGGCTGTGCCGCTCCGCAGCTCGCCCCTGGTGGAGAGGCTGCACAATGTGGTTTGGATTTGGCTGAGCCCCCTCAGCACCTTATAAAGCACCTTGCTGAGTCAGGGGGAAAGCAGCCTCAATGAGGAGTGGAGGAAAGGGCTCAGAGAGCGAGAGTGGGGGGGGGGAGTGGAGAGGAAGGAGAAGGGACCTGGAAAAGGAAAGAGGAGACACAGAGGCAAGTGGGTGGGAATGAAAAAGACAGGAGACCTGTGGCTGCAGGAGCAGAAGGGGGAGATGCTGCTGGCGGAGAGGAATAGGCTCTTACAAGCACTTAGTAATGCTGCGGGGGAGGGGTCTATAGTGCTGTTCCACCCTGCCCCAGCAAGAGTCCACTTCATGGGACTCTAAGGCATGAGCATGCAGGAACTGAGGGCTTTTGTGCCCAGTGGACCCAGTTCACGGGGGTGGACAAAACACAGCCCCTGGGGGTCCCCCCATTTGCCTTTTAGTTGTTAATGTAGTGACCCCACATGCTGGGAAAGTCACATTCTCCCTCAGCCCCAAGCCTGGACTTGCCTCCCTGCCCTCTCTCCCTCACCCAGTGGGGGCCAAGCTTTCCCCTCCCCTCTTCCATACTGCCAAAGGGAAAATCAGCTCCATCTCCGAGCTGCCAGTGCCCCTCTGCCATGTCTGGGCAAAGGCAGCAGGCTAGGAGCTGCCAGTTGGGGTGGGGTGGGGGCTGGAGTAAAAACTGCCTTCCTTTGCCAACTCAATGGGGTGGGCTTGCTAGAATTTGGGGGAGAAGGAAGAAAGGAGAGTTGAAGCAGGAGAGCCCTCCCAAGGTTTGGGGGGGGCAGGGCAGGTGGCTGTCTTTTGGGTTTCAATTCAAGGACTAACTCAGCTTCTGCTTGTTCCCCTCCCTCCACTCCCTGGTGGCTCTCAGAACTTTATGGAATCCTTCTAAAGCCCAACAATCCAGGGACCTGTGGGTAGGGTGGAGATTGGCGGAGACACCAGATACCACCTGTAGCTTCAGATAAGCATCCTCAGGAAGAGAGAAGTATCAGGATCAGTCCCCTCTGTCCCAAGGGATACTATGTGGCTGCTTTTCCAGCCCCTACTGGGTGCTAGGTCCTGTAACAGAGAAGAAAGGGAAACCCCAAACTTGACCATTAAGAATTCTAGTTTGGGGACACTTACCACATGTCATCATTAACCATAGTGGTGGGAGGGAATGTGAGGGTCCCAGGAAGAGATGTGAAAAGAGCTTGAGAGGAAATACAGTAGGATTACCAAGGAGGGTCCACTGGGCACCACCCACATGGCTCCCTGGAGCAGCCTGCTGAGAGCAATGCTGGGGTCAGCATACCTGGGTTCCAATTGGCCAGTGTGCCATGGGGTTTAACTCCCTCTCCCCTCCTCTCCCCTGGATGGTAGGAGTATTCAGGGGGTTAATGACCAGAACACTGGTTTGCCACCACCTCTGGCCTTCCAGAGAGCAGGCCACAGGTGAGTAGCACGTCAGACGCCAAGAGGTACGGTTGAGTGGGGGGCCAGATGTGGCACCAGATGAAGACCAAGCTGCACTCCAAGCATTGAGGGTGACTCAGTGTTGGCTCAGGGACTGGCTAGAGTTCCTTCCTTTCCCTCCCTCCTTCTTCCACAACTGGCATTGGAGGGGGCTCTCCAGGTACCCCAAAATACCGTGTCAGGCACAGCCATGGAGTTGGCATTGAAGGGGTCCTGGCCTAGGGAGAATTCAATTCCTGAACTAGGGAAGCCTCTAACATGGTCTCCTCCTGACAGTGATAAGGAGTGGAGCTTGGACAAGCCCTCAGAGGGGACAGGGACATTTCCTGAAGGCCTCCTCCATGCCAGTTGCTAGGGACAGAGGAGCCTTAAGGGGCTGTGGGGATGAAGGGGTGGAGGCTGACCTGGGTGTAGGTAGGAGCCACCAGGCAAAACCGACATGCCAGCAGTTCTCATAGGGTTATTTGCCTTAAATGCCACAATTGCTTTTTTTTGGCGGGGGGGGGGGCTTTTTGAGACAGGGTCTTCATGTAGCCCCAGCTGGCCTGGAACTTGCTATGCAGACCAGACTGGCCGTGAACTCACAGAGATCCACCTGCTTCTGCTTCCAGATTGCTGGGATTATAGGTGTGCGACACCACGGTATTTTATTTACGTCTTTGAAGAAGTAATCTTAAGACTGAGGTAAAACTATATTATTTTTTATTTTGTGTGTTATGAGTGTGTAAGTGCACCCGTGTTGTGCACCTGTGTCATGCAGTGCCCAATGAGGTCAGAAGAGGGCGTTGGATCCCCTGGAACTGGAGTTATGGAAGGTTGTTAGCTGCCATGTGGGTGCTAGGAATTGAACCTGGGTCCTCTGCAAGAGCAGCCAGTGCTCTTATAACTGCTGAGCCATCTCTGCAGCTCCAAAATACCAAGCTCCTCCCCCAGCACAGGGGTGACAGGGGTGGTCGGGGTGGTCCTCCTCAGGTCCATTTTCATCCATTTCTTTGTACCCTCGCAAGAACCCTAACATGGAGCTCTCATTTCCTTGTTCTTACTCGAGGAAGCAGGACTTGGACAAAGTCACTCTAGCATTACACCAGACTGAATGATGGGACCAGGATGGGAACCCAACGTTGTCTGACTTCGGTGACATGCCCCCTCAGCTGAACCATGCAGTTGTCAACATGGAGGCTGCCTTGAGAGGACTCTAAGAGAAGAGCTTGGTCTGAGAGCAGGCTTTAGAACGCCGGACTTCACCAAGCACTGCTGGCTATGAGGCATGTGTCGATGGGCACAGGGGTCTTTCAAGACACCAAGGGCGTGAAGAAATTGCTCTAATGCCTGAGAAGGCCTAGCCTCCCAGCACCTGGGAGACAGGGCTGCCCTCCACCACCACGGCGGAGCACTGTGAGCTGGGCCAGGTATCTTACAGCGCCCTCCTGTGTCCAAGAGAGGCCAGCCCCCA